AAGGCTGAAGGAACACCACCTAGGCGGCTGCCCTCGGAGGTAACTACCTGCTCTTCTGAGCCCAGTGACATCAGACAGAAGGCCACATGCAATTTCACAGCCTGCTCTCACCCAGCTACGGGGAGAGCGGCGCTCCCTCCGATTTCATGGCTGCCTGGAACACATGTCATGCTGAGTGAAGGACAATCCGTGTAATAAGTAAGATTTAAATGCCAGCAGGAGGGTGACAGGATAGCCGAGGGGCTGACATCAAGACCGAACGGTGATGGTAAGGGAACAAGCTGGAACCTCCCACGCCTCAGGACCCACATGCTTGGCCGGCAGCAGCCAGCCCCTGCCCGCAGCTCCGGCCCGCGCACAGGCGTTTCCAGCTGCTTCCATTACCCACTCAGGTTTTTTTCTTGGTTTCCATGAAGTTCTCACAAGTATAAACACTGAGGTTGAGCTGGTAAGATGACCTAGCACGATGCTCGCCAGAGCGGGGCCTGCCAGCAGGTCTGACTACACTGTGGTTGACGCGACTCTGGTCCTGGGCCTGAGCGAGCACCGAGCAGCCTGCGTCCTGCCCTCAGCTGGCCTCGTAATGGAGGTGAACATGGGTACACCCAGCGGTGGTCTCAGCAGTGCTGGCGTGCTGTCAGGGCATGGGCACGGTATAATCCACCTTCCTGGGCTGTAGGCACAGGGCTTGGGAGGCACCTATGGGGAGAGCTTCACACAGTGCGTTTTCTTCCCCTGCACAACTATGCAAGTAGATTTTGGCTTCTCTTGATCTCAGTAATTACAATCTCAGAATCGTCAATGAAATAAAAGGCTTTGGACTATCCAAGAAGATAGCCCATGTCTGAGAGCAGAGTGCCGTCTTGGTGAGAGATCACCACACTCCATCTGAGATCAGAGAGGGGTAACGCTGGGTAGGCCCAGGCATCTGTCAGCAAGCGGTTCCCTACACAAGGGCCAGGTGAAGCCATCACAGCAGGCAACTAAGGGCCGTGCAAACACACCAGACACATGCTCCCTGCTGCAGCTAGGACGCGGCCCCACAGTATGGGCCAAGCTGCATCCCCAAGATCAGTAACTACAGTGAATACCCTCAGCGAGCACTGCCAATCGGAAGCGGTTCTCAGGCCTCCAGGAGGCGGGGCCTCTGCTGCTCCTTCCTCTCAGGGAGCTCAGAGCCCCACCCAGAGTTAGCAGCCCGGGGCTCAGTTCTGTACAGCTGACCCCTCTCCCTAAGTCTGGATGCAATCACCAACACAGCTCCCGCTGTGGGAATTCTGCAGGGACGTGTCTGTGGTGTGCAGAGCCAGCAGCTGACCACAGCTGAGCCTCCAGGCCGCTCTTGGAATGTGAGGGAGAGTTCCTGGGGAGTGAGAGGAGGCAGAGCAGGGGGGAAGGTGAACCAAGCTGCCCCTTCTGGCCACGAGGGCTGCGTGTGGCACTGGCACACTGTCCCCTGGGCGTCCTCAGCCACACCTGGCTGTGGTCCCTGAGGAAACAGCAGGAGTGGGCTGTGTGTGGACCCAGCTCAGGGTGGTGGCTGGGTGAAAGGTCTGAGAACAGAGCTTCGGGGAGTTGGGGAGCCAGGGCTTGCTGGTCATGTGATGACGCGCCACTTGACAACATGTGACAGGCCCAGAAATGACCCGTGGGCCTTCATACAGATGAGTGGCAACAGTGCCCTCCCAATGGCCAGGATCGAGAGCCGAGGAGCCCCGGAACCGCCCTCCCTGGCACTCCAAGTGGACAGGACCCCAGCTGCCTGGGCTGCAGGACCCTTCCCTCACACTGCCTCCTCCAGACCTCTTGGGGACTGTCAGTCTCAAGGGCCCAAAGACAGACACGTCAGAGCCTTCAGACAGAGAACTGTCAGAGAGACTAGGATGCTGAGAGCATGTGCTAATTTCTGCTCCCACTTCTCCCAAGGCTTGGATCTGAGGGCGCGCTGCCCAAAAAGCTAAGAAAAGCTGAGCCCGAGCTCTGAAGTGAATGGCCTCCGAGGCATCCACTCAGACGCCCCGTCCCAGTCCCACTCCGGCTCGGCAGACCGCGGGGATTCAGGCCACAAGTGGTTAACTCCGCAGGGCGAATTGGAGCCCGGCGCAGGCTGACTGTCTTCACTCAGCGCCGTAATCGGCACATCTGCAGACAGGAAATCCTCCGCGCTGCAAGTTCCCAGCCTATTATCTGAGACACCTGGTGTGGGTGGGTGATTCAGAGACAAACAATGAGCGGGCCCCCTGCGCAGCAATTAGCGGCCTTACCAGCTCATGTGATTAATCCCCCGCGTGGAGATCAAGGCCGCACGGGGGGACGCGGCAGCCTCGCCCTGATCGCGCCGCGCCGCTCCGCGTTCTCCTTCCGCAGTAGCGGGCACCACTCTGGGGGGCCGCGTGGGCAGCCAGGCCCAGTAGCCGTGTGTGGACCCGACACCCCTGCCGCATACAGCGGCCCTCCTGTGCGTGTGCCCCTGGGGGGCGCCAGGGAGCCCTTCCCGTTTCTGTTTTGAAAGCGCACGTCAGCAAACCCCGCTCGGTTGACCCGGCTTGCTCCTTTCGGACTGGAAAGCGCATTGGCGGAAATGCGCCCCGTGCCAGCTGTACGGCATCTGACAGCGTTCGCTTTTAACCTCTGGGAGCCGATTATCCTTTATTGCAAGTAAAAATAATGCCTGGCTAACGACCTATCAGTTTAGCCAGCAGAAAACATCCCCAGTGCCTCAACTGGGAAGCAGCGCCTGAATGTTTACAAAACGACGGCCGGAAGCCGAATGGCAGAGTCAGCACATGCCCGAGCAGCCTCGGTGGGCGCCCAAACCCACCGCCGCACAGCGCTCTGGGAGCCGGGGTCAGAGGCCACGGGCTCCGAGAGCTTCCACCCACCGCATAAATCACACCGGGCAGGCTGTCTGGGGGATGCGCTTTTTGAAAGCACGAAAAATGTGACTCCTAGTGGGGGAGGAGGAGTTCTGGTGGCGTAGTGCCTAAGGCACGTGACTGCTCACCAGAAGGCTGGCGGTTCAAACCCACCAGCCACTCCTCAGAAGGAAGGTTGGGCAATCTACTTCCGTAGTGATACCCCCTCGGAAACCCAGGGAGGGGTGACTATGAGCATGTTGGAGGGCAAGCAACAGTGGGGCAGGTGGGCATTCAGACCACAGCAGCTCTGTGTGCAGGGGTGGGAGGGGGTGAGCCAGGGGCACAGGGAGGCTTTCCAGTGGCTCAGCCCCACGCCCTTGGAGCTGCAGTCACCACAGTGGGCTGGTGGGCTATGGAGAGACGGGTTATACCGTGGAGAGGGCAAGAGCCTGTCACCTCATCACTTGGAATGGAGCTCAAGAGAGCAAAGATTTTGCTTGTACTGTTAGGTCTGAAAAGTTATAGTCTTTCATCGTGTTTATAATCATAAAACCAATTAAAGTTTACTTCTGATCGAAAATGTTTCCTCTAGTAATTTATCAGCTTTAGGTCAAGATGCACAAAATTCACTGCATGGCACCTCGGGCCCTCTCCCAGCTTGTCGAATGCCTTATGTCTGCCCCACAAAAATGAAGGGCCTGACGCCTCCACCAACATGCTTCCATTTCTAATTTCCATTCTCCCTGAGAGACTCAGGGAGAACAGACTGGCTTCTCCAAAAACGCACGGGTTGGTGGCACAGCCCTATCCCTTCTGTCCCACCCAGGGGAGCTAGGACCCACCGAGTTGTGACAAATACTGATTGACAGGGCTGTCCTGGCACACTCGGTAACATGTAGTGACCGGGAACAGACAGTGTCTGAGGGTCACACTGCTGTGGATCCAGCTCCCAAGACAGTCACCGTAGCAGGAAACTAACAACTCAGCTGCTCCAGCTGTCAATATGCAAATTGACAGGAGAGCTGAGAAAAGGAGCTGCAGGTAGCAAGGGGGGTGGGGCCTTTTGAGCAGTCTGCATCCGCTGGCCTGCACCCGCTCACCACACCACACCACCCTCACTAACGAAGATCCCTGGTTCCTCACTGGCCGTGCCCTGCTACACAGCAGGTGCGGATTGGGGACAGCATCCAGGCTCCCCTCTACTAGCTCAGGCCTGGGCCAGGCCACCACTCCTCCAGACTCCCCTTTCCCTGGACTGCTGAGGTCCAGCCCAGGCCAGGTCTCCTCCGGCTGTGCCATACGCTCCACCCTTCCCGTCAAGGAGCCAGTGGCCTGGCATGTGGGCTCAGGGGTTGTGGGGGGACACAAGGAGGGCTCTGCCATGCTTGCCTGCTGGATGGAGTTGTTGCCAACCACACCTGCTCAGCCTTCGCCTCTGTGTGAAGTAAGATGCATGGTTCTCAGGTAGTAGAGAGAGTGAGCATTCAAACCTCCTAGGAGTGAGGTGGCAGCCAGCCCTATCCAACAGGCCAGAAGGCCCCAAGGCCTCTTTGCACCCTCCTTGGACATCATCTTTAGAAACCTGTGAGGTGTGGCCAGCGAGACCCCTCCAAGCATGTGATAACCATACAGAGCCCAAAACCAGCCACTGGCAAATACTGTGAGCTGTAAGCATGCTGCTTAAAAGAAATCTGGCTCATTTGTAAGTGCTAACAACAGCTAGCTTGAAACTATAATAGAAAACCAATCTCCTTTGCTAAAGAGAAAGATAACTAGGCTAACCCTACACACAGGGCTTATGCAATAAAACCTTCATAAGCTATCCATCTAAAGGGACGTGAAGTCAGGAGGAGCAATTAGTTTCGTAAACAGTGACAACTAAGCTGCCTGCTTTCCACCCTTCACGTCTCTGACGTGTGCTTTCAGACTCAGGTTCTGGAGAAAACACGAAGCAGCTTGGTGCTCATGACAGCAAGATGGGCAGGGTCAGGGTACGCTGCCTGATGGGTCCCGAGTAGAGGGGTGCTATGCAGTAGCCACTGCCTGGCAGCCAGCAGGTGAGGGAGACCCTCAGAGCTTGGTTCCCCAGCCTCTCTCTGTGGACCCGAGACAGATTCATAGGTGTGGCCCAGTACCCCTTACCGATGGCCCACAGGACAGTGTCGAAGGTGCCTGTGTCCTCCCTGCCCGAGGCACGGTCCTCCCAGGTCACTTGCAGGCAGCCGCTGGGGAGTCTCCTGACCTGCCAGGGTATGCAGCCTCTCAGAAACCGGGTGCCATGAGACGCCATGTACTCCGTGACCAAGGCAGACATTTCCTGCAAGCACAAGAGAACATGTGTGAGAACCAGATACCACACCACACCCTGACATCACAACCCTAAGAGCAAGGGTATGCCCTCATCCAGCTTGGGGCTGGCTCCTCGTGACATGAGCAGAGTGGAACTAGAATACATCTGGTGTCGACACAGGAAGGCAGGATGTTTCTCCTGACACGGCAGTGCCAGTCCCAGAGCCACCAAGGAAGCTGGGCTAGACAGGGAGAGAAGGACAGGCTAGAAGGCCTCAGGTGCCAGAGACAAGTCTCTCTGGAGGAGAAGGTGCCCAGCCCTGCTGACAGCAGAACTTGCTCAGGCTGCACTGCCCCCCAGGCCCCCTCTGACTTATCTCAAGGTAAAGGCTGGGCCAGGAAGCTTCAGTTCCACCTAATGCCACACCTTCAGCCCTGGAATCTTTGGTCTGGATTCATGTGGTGTTATGGATTGAATTGTGTTGTACCAATCCCCCTACCCCACCCGCCAGCCTCTATACTTGTGGTTAAAAGCAGCTCTAAGCCTAGTCACCCTTCAGGCCTGGAATTGAACTCACTCCTGTGGCTTCCAGCCAAATAGCAGACAGGTATATAAGGTGAATATTTATACCAGGCAGGTGTACTCCTTAGAATGATCAACCATGGGAGAGCAGGAGGGCAGCATTGGCACAGCTCTGGTGGTGTAGTGCCCACGGCATTTGACTGCTAAGTAGAAGGCTGGTGGTTCAAACCCACCAGCCACTCCTGGGAAGGAAGGTTGGGCAATCTATTTCCATAGTGATATCACCTCAGAAACTCAAGTAGGGGTGGCTGTGAGTTGGATCCGACTTGATGGCAGTGAGTTTGGTTTGTTTTTATAGCTCAGAGGGCAGGAATGCATAGGAAAGAAAGACACAGAGAAAAGGTAGTCACAGAGAGGAAGTGGAAAGAGAGCTGTTACATTATAGGGACTGCAACCAATGTCATGAAAAAAAAAAATGTGTATGAACTGTTATATGGAAAACGAATTTGTTCTGCACACTTTCACCCAAATCACACAGACACACTCAAAGGGATTCTAGTGGTGTAAGGGTTAAGGCATTTGGCTGCTAACCAAAAGGCTGGTGATTCGTACCCAACCAGCTGCTCCATGGTAAAAGATGAGGCACTCTGCTTCCACGGAGATTTACAGCCTTGGAAACCTAATGGGGGTTGCTATGAGTTGGAATTGATTCCATGGCAGTGGGAGTGCTTTGGTTTTTACACTCTGGTTGAAATGTCATTTGGGAATGGGTTTTCTTTGTTACATTAAGAAGCTGTATCAGAGGAGGCTATATTCTATGCCAATCTTCTTGGAGATACAAAAAGAGCAGAGCAGGACTGAGGAGCAAGGAGAGATGGGAGAAGTCGAATGCCATGCTGCATGATCACCAAGGACCCAAGGGGAGGAAGTGGAAGATAAAAGGGCCTTCCCGCAGAGCGGACAGAGGCAGAAGCCTCCCCTAGAACCAGCACCCCGAATCTGGACGTCTAGACTCCTCAACTGTGGGAGAATGAATCTGTTTGTTGAGGCCACCCACTTGTGGCATTTCCGTTACAGTAGATGCTGGAAAGGCCAGCGAGACGCCCTCCAAGCATGTGAGAACAGCAGCCTAGAGAACCCCGACGCATGGCGTTTCGGCCCTTCTCAGATGCTACCTCAAAAAAACTAAACCAAACTCACTACCATCAAATCGATTCCAACTCATAGCGACCCCCTTTGGATTTCTGAGGTGGCAAATCTTTATGGAAGTAGATTGCCCAGTCTTCCTTCTGCAGAGTGGCTGGTGGGTTGGAACAGCCAACCTTTTAGTTAGCAGTCAAATGCCTTAGGCGCTGTGCCACCAGAGCTCCTCATCTAGTCTCTACTAAAAACTTTGTGGAAAGAGAAATACCCCATCTCCTTTGTCCTGCCCCCAAGCTAACCAGATGTAGCTGCACCCCTCACTGGCCCTACTTGTCCCCTGCTATCAGAGTGCCCAACTGTGTGACCAGACCCCTTCGTCTGCCATTGGGTGGGGCCCTGCCTCTGCCCTCACACCCAGGGGGTGGGGCTCATCTGTGAAGAGGTCGCCCGCTCTCCCTCCTGGCCTGAGAAAGCTGTGCGCACCGTGCCACTGTAGGGGCCCAGCCAGGGTGGGGGTGCATGGGAGCAGATGCCCAGCTAGAGCAGGCCAGAGGCACGGCCGGCCCACGGCCTCTTCTTTCAGGAGAAAATAAACAGTGGCCGTTTTAAGTCCCGTCAGGAGCAAACACCTGCCATTTGCACAGGTGCGCCAGCTTGTTCTGAGTAGCTCAGGGAGAGCCCATGTCTGGGATGGAGGGCCAGGTGGCCTCCCTCAGCAAAGACTGAGCCCTGACATGCATTGGCCCTTGTCCTGGGGCTGCCTGTCATTCTCCTACCTTCTGGCACTTTATGAGCCTGGGACATCTGGTTGCAGTCTGAAGGGAAACTGCTGGGCCTGCTTAGGCCCCAAGGCCCCTGCAGTCACCCTGGGCCTGCCTGCTGGGACTGTGTGTCCTCCTTGCTCCACGAGACATGTTCCTGAAGTCTTGGCCCATGCTGTGCCTTCTCCTGGGTACACCTTGACCCTGTCCCCTGCTCTCCCAGCTCACTCCCGGTGATCCATGGGCCACCAGCTGCCCTGATGCCCTCAGCCCTGGCTGCTCAATCCAATCCTCAGGCCCCAGGCCCACCACAGGGTCACTCTGGATGCCCTGGGCCAGGCTGAAAGCAGGGGACACCTCAACATTGCCACTCCCCACCTACAGCCCAGACTCTCCTGAGCACTCAACCTGTGCTGGTCCAATGCCAGCATCGGCCCCTGGTGTCCCCAGCTGGCTGCTGCTCCCCACGAACATTCCCACTCCATAGGACTGTTCCTCGCTCACCCACGCCCGGGAACTCGGACGCTGCATGCCTCCAGCTCTGCCCTGCCCTCACAGGGGGCTCTGCAGAGAGCCTCCCCTATTGACATGGAGGTACCCTCAGCCCCTGCAGGCCCCTTTGTCTCTAAGGCCTTGTCCCTGTTGGGTGCATGGCCTCCTCACTGCTTCTCTGTCACTGCCTTCCCACACCCCTGGGCAGCGAGAGGCTCGGGGGCTTCCCTGGAGCACTGGGACCATCAGGGGCACTCAGCGGGTAGGTGCTGAGTGACGGGAAGGACGGACTCACGTGCTGGCACAGTTCGGCCCAGCTGAAAGGGGTGGCATACTTGCCTCCGGGCGGTTCACCGGCCCCTGCCATGCAGCGGCTTGCTCCCATGGGCAGTACAGTGTCATCTTCTGACAGCTGCTGGCACAGCTGCGGTAGCACTGAGACCTGGCCTGGCCGCCATCACAAACAGCCTCCACTGTGCTCACACTGCCCAGAAGCAGCAGCTCTGCCCATGGTGCCAAGCACTGCCCTCACAGCTATCCTGCAATCAGGTCCATCCAAGGGCCTCCCAGGTTCCTACCCACTGCCCACCCCGCGGGCTATTGCTAAGCTTGGGTGAGCCTCGTCCCACTCGAACCCCAAAGAGGCAGCAAGGCAGGCACTGGGAGATGGGACCTCTGAGGCAGGGGCGGCGGGGGGTACAGGCAGCGCTTCTGTGGCCACGCTTGCTCTTCCGGCGACCTGCCTGGTGCACCGAGGGCCTTTGGCTCAGCAGGTCGCACCCGCAGCAGCTGTGCACAGGCCCTGCGTGTTAACCCTGCTCCCTACTCTGTGGCATGTGCACTTCCATATTTTGTTAATAAGCTAGATCAATTCCAGGCTGGTTCCTAAGGATTCAGACCTTGCTCCGGGTCACACCTGCACCACACCTGGGCTGGGGGTGGGGTGGGGGCGGGGCACAAGCCCTCGGGAGCAGGGCAGCTAGGAGGGGCCACGGGCACTACCTGGGAGGGGTGGGGGCGGACACACGCCCTGGGAGCAGGGCAGCTAGGAGGGGCCGCGGGCACTACCTGGTCGAAGCCCCTCAGGGGGATGCTGCGCATCATCACCGTGGTGTCCAGGCCCATCCCGGAGAGGAAGCCGGCACATTCCAGGGCGACATCTGCCGGCAGGTGGGTTAAGGAAGGCTAGTGAGGCCAGGAAACCACAGGAGCAGGGTGGTCCCCAGCCATGCCGGTCTCAGGAGGATGCTCTCCAGGTGAGGTAAGTGCAAAGGCCCTGCACACACCCCCTTCTTAAGCTGGGCCCGGGAGCAGCGGCTCTGCCAGACCAAGAGGACACTCCCTCCAGCCCCATGGAGAGGCTGGCCCTCCAATCTCGCCAGGGTCTGCTTGGCGACAGAGAGCCGGCCGGCTGGAGCTCCCAGGGAGGAAGAGCCCCATCCTTGACAGACACAAGGCAGCCGCAGGGAACCTGTGCTCAGCAACGCTTTCATCTTCCCCAGGTCCCCTCCCCTGACCCCAGCATTTGTGCTGCTCTCTCTGAAGGATGAAACCCACATCCAGCTGCCTCGGTGGGCTCAGCGCAGCCTGGTGTGAATCTCAGGAGACGCCTCCAGGAAGTCCCAGCCACAGGAGGTCAGCCTTGAGTGGTCCCAGAGCAGAGGTCACCACCAAGAGAGACCCCCGTAAGTGCTGGCATCCAGGCAGCAAAGTGCCTGCCCTACAGGGGTGAGGGGCTGAGGATGCGGTCTCCACTCCCCGGAAGGGGAAAGCAGCAGTCTGTCACCTCCACGCTAACAAAGGATACAGCTGGCACCGACCACCAACCTGCCACAGAAATAGAGAAAGAGCAAAGTAAGTTTCTGTCGGTGGTCTACAATAACGCACACAGCAGCTGGCCCTGGCGTTGGGGCTTGGCCCCTGCTGGCATGGAAGCAGAAGCCAGCCCCTGCAGCCTGGGTGAGGTGCCGTCCACTCCATGGGGCCTGTAAAAAGACACACAATCCACTTCTCAGAGGCTCTGGCTGTGAAGCCCACAGGAGAGGAGCACAAGGGTGCGTCCTGCTGAGCACAATCCCATCAAGAGCAGAGGGACTTCTCCAGCTCTTGGGGAGACTTGACTGTGGGTCACCCTGGGCCTCCTGGACCGGGGTGGAAGGAGGGAACGCTTCCCAGGTCAGTAAGCATGAGACTGGAGAGGTTCACTGTCTGTGGGCAGAATGCGCTCAGGCCACAAAGACCAGGCCAGAAGCCCACATACGCTCCAGCAGCCTTGCCACAGGTGGGCCCAGCTACGAGAACCAGGCCCCTCCAAACTCACTGGATTAGAGAGCCAGAGCCCAGGGAACCAGGGCAGCAGACACAGGATGCTGGGACCGGCGGAGGAATTTTAAAGATTTCCTAGTTGTTTAAGTCCTCTCCTGTTTTTCAGCTCCACCTTTGGTATGCACACACATGCCCACACATATATGCACACACCCAAGTGCACACATGCACACGTGCATACATGCGTGCACACGTGCATACATGCGTGCACACGGACACACGCATATTTAGCCAGGCACACACAGGTACACACACACAGAATCTAAAACAGAAGGAAGCCTCCAGCCCAGGCGCTGAGCATGGGTGGGCTCATCAAATCACCCCTCAGCCTTTGAACAAGAGGAGGTGATGTAAGGATGGATAAACCCAATGTCAGCGCTAATCCCAGCAGGTACTAATGATATAATTCCATTTCAAAACGTAGGATATCCTTTGGAATACTTCTGCAGGGGCCTGTGGGAAGAACGGGCATGAAGCTTCCTCACAGGAGCTGGGACAGAGCCAGGCAGGGAACCGCTGTCTGGGTGAGCGAACGAAGCTTTGCCTGACCATTGGGCGGTCAACCACGTACCCCTGCTCAGCAGACTGGGGGAGGCAGGCACTGGGCCTCCCACTAGTCGGGGTGCAGAGTGCAGCACCTCCATGGAGACAGACACATCAGTGCCCATGTAGGTACACGTGTGTGCAGACACATCAGCATATATACGGTACATATACCTCTCTCGATAGGCTACTCTGGGTGGCGTGAAAGATTAAGTGCTCGATCACTAGCCAAAAGGTGGTGGTTTGAACTCACCCAGAGGCACCTTGGAAGGAAGGCCTGGTGACCTTTTATTTTTTGTGTGATTTGGGTGAAAGTTTACAGAGCAAATTCACTTTCCATACAGCAGCTCACATACACTTTGTCTCATGACATTGACTGCAATTTCCC